TTTTATTGAATTCAAAAGTCTAAAAGCAATCCGAATTATACATCAAATCACAAAAAGATAAACATTTCCATCAATAGTAGAAATCCCATAATCATCCATCAATTTTACCGAACGACTCGTCATTCCCGTCGATCACCACATCAAATCCAGAATATCCCCTTCCAAACAATAAGCCTACAAAATGCTAACCTTCAAAGCGATCATCTGTTCAATATGCTCCGGAACGTCTGGTATGGTAACGTCAGCCTCACTTTGCTGCCTATACACCAACGCATAACAACCTTTCATATCTGGTGTCACCTTCGAAATGCGCTCCTTTTCGGTCGATACACCGGGTGCTTGCGATGGTATTACATACTGGAAGTTATTCATATTATCACAATAAACACTATTCAATTCAAATCTGGAATAAATTTTCTCCCTCCTTGATTAAATTTTTGAAAAATTTTCAAAATTAAATTCTTATTGAATTAGATTTTTTAAATTTTTTATCACTAATTTAAATTCTTAATTCAAGTTAATTTTTAAAAAATTAAAATTTTTGTCATTATGATCAATAGCATCAGCAAGATCACAACATAAAAACTTACAGCGTCATTATAGGTAAACCACTGTTTAGTGACCGGGTGTTTAATCAGATCATAATAATGCCCACAGTCCGCATTCGGCCCTTCGTGGATCATCACCGCACAAATATCGTATCCAACACCACAAATCTCCAATATGCGAGGATATTGCAGTGCTGACTGCACTTTTTTCTTGTGACCGTTCCTGGAATTTAAATCAGTTCAGTGGTCTATCAACTGATGTCAGCACAACATTCGCTTCCAACAATCAACAATACTGCTAGTATTTTGTGCTTAAAACGAGCCAATCACTTCACTCGTTCATTATTCTATTTTGAGAGATATTCATCCTATTTATTTGACCTCATCAATTCGCTCAATCAGAACTTAAAGACAAAAAATATTTTTATGAGCAATATTGTCTCTTTTAAAAGTTTATGGATGTTACTTTCATGAAATGTTATTGGTGTTTTTTTGATTTTAATTTGAGTGTAACATTATTGAATCACTTCAGCTGATAGACAATCTAACCTATTCCACTTAGGATAAAACAAAACTGATCAATGAAGGAATTCCATGAAGATAATATAAATTCACTCGTATAAAGG